TCTGAAAAACCACCATACCTAATTACCTCCCATAACTGGCTCCCCACTTCCCCCAACATCTTCTTTAGTCTTTAGCTGCAAATGGAATTGAAGGTGTTGAGTTGAACTATTTTCAGGAATTACTTAGTTTTCCTGAGTATTGCCCATGTACCAGTATAGAGAAGGTATATATGTTTTAAATTTTTTTTCAAACAACAGGAACTTAAGCAGAGCAACTTACAGCAGATACAGAAGGTCACCTTCCTAGAAATAACATCTGGGCCTCAGTTGTATTTCAGCCCCAAGCCCAGAAAAGCATGTGACACCAGGACCAGTTCCAAGGACTAACAACCCCCTGATTCTGACCGATCAGTGGAGACCATGATCCAGAAGAAACACACCTAGAAAACTGATGAATATTCTGGTCAACCTTCCCCTAAGACCTCCCATAAGACCCCCACCAGCTAACAAGAGATAAAAGCCTCAGACAAAGTTCCCAGCATGTGCTCTCCCTCTGGGGAGCAGCCCACTCCATCCCCCTTTTCTTCTTCCCTCCCTTCTTCCCTCACAGGCATACATCTCCTAAACTCTAAGAATCCCCAGGACATTTGCAATGAGGGGAACAATGGTCAGCGGCAGCTCGGCAGCTTGTCCCAGGCGAATCCCCTGAACTTGTTCCTAAGACTTCCCGAAGAGGTAGGGCTGCCCAGCATAGGCTCTCCTGGTGCTTCTTCCATGCTAACAATTCCTTGTTTTGCTGGCTCTGTTTTTTTTTTAAATATATATTTTTATTGATTTTTTTACAGAGAGGAAGGGAGACAGATAGAGAGCAAGAAACGTCGATGGGAGAGAAACACCGACCAGCTAGCTGCCTCTTGCACACCCCCTACAGGGGATGTGCCCACAACCAACGTACATGCCCCTGACCGGAATCGAACCTGGGACCCTTCAGTCCGCAGACCGATGCTCTACCACTGAGCCAAACCGGTTTCGGCTGGCTCTGGTTTTAATAAACTTTTCCTCATAGTCACCTGGACTCTTGTTGTGAAATTTTTCCTGCACAAAGTCAGGAACCCACACACTACCAGTCCTGTAGACAGACCCACTCAAGGTTAGGTCCTCTGCCTGGTAACACTCTTTCAAGAGGTCTTAATCTCAGCTTCTTGGGGTCACAACTACATTCTGCATTTGCAAACTACAATACTGAGTAAGTCTTCTTTTACCATCTTACTTCCTTTTATTTAATTAAATTTATTTATTTATTTATTTATTTATTTATTTATTTATTTACTTCTTCTGCCTATTTTTAGATGGAGCAGGCTGCACTGCGTTCCATGTTACATCAAAACTACTATAGCTTGGAGCCCTGTTGCTTGGGGAAGACTCCAGAAAGGTTCTCATGAACCAACAAAAGATGGGCTGGAAGGTGCTCGTGTTCCTGCACTGAGATGTCTTCCATGTCTCTTTTAAAAAAAGTTTTTAAAGAAAAAATGTTAAAAGCATCAAGAAAAACAAATTATATGTATACATATATGTACATATATGTGTGCATGCACATGTACAAACATTCAAAAATGTGATCTGTTCTAACTGCCTTCTTTCACTTAATATCTGATGCTCTACCACTGAGCATGTACGTTGGTCCTCAGTTCCTAAATAGTGTCAGCATGGAAAAGGTGAACGAGTTTTTTTGTCGTTCATAACAAACTCTCTTCAACTCACCTGAGCTTGTTAGTGAGGTGACTTTTGGAAAGACCTTGAGGATGGGGGCAATTATCAGAGGAACCAGCCACCATAAGAAGGGTGAACCTTTCAATCCCATGCCCCACTTTCACTTCCAGAAAGGCGGTAGAGGATGAATTAATCACCAAGAGGGAATGATTTACTCAATCTTGCCTACATAATGAAGCTTCCATAGAATCTCTAATGTAAGGAGTTTAGAGAGCTTACAGATTGGTCAACAAGAACATATCCATGCCCTAGCCGATTTGGCTCAGTGGATAGAGCGTCAGCCTGCAGACTGAAAGGTCCCAAGTTCAATTTCAGTCAAGGTTGTGGGCTCGATCCCCAGTAGAGGGTGCGCAGGAGGCAACCAATAAATGATTCTCTCATCTTCGATGTTTCTATCTCTCTCTCTCCCTTTCTCTTTGAAATAAATAAAAATATATTTTTAAAATTAAAAAAAAAAGAACGTATTCATGTGCAGAGAGGGTGGTACACCTCAAACTCCACAGGGACAGAAGCTCCTGTGTCAGGGAACCTTCTCGACCTCGCCCTATGTGTCTTTTCATCTGGCTATTCCTATGTATCCTTTAGTATTCTTTCTGATAAGCAAATAACCCAGTAAGAAAACTTGTTTCCTGATTTATGGGAGCTGTTCCAGCACGTTAATCAAACCTGTGGAAGGGGTCGTGGAAACCTCCAATTTATAGCTGGTGGTCAGAAGCATAGCTGACAACCTGGGCTTGCAATTGGCATCTGAAGACGAAGAAGAAAGACAGTCCTGTGGGATTGAGACCCTCACCTGTGGGATCTGATGCCACCTCCAGGTAGCCAGTGTCAGGATTGAACTAACCTGTAGAACACCCAGTCAGGGTCCACTGAGAATTTGGAGAATTGCTTGGTGGTATTGAAAAAACACATTGTATTGTTACTGTTATAATTGGCTAGTTATTATTAACAAGAAAGGGGCAAAAGGCCAGACATTATAAGCATGGCCATCAGGGCAGCTTTACTAGAAAGCTGCAACTTCACCCTCGCCAGGGAACCACTGGCCCATGCCCTGCAGATCACTACGGGGAGGGGCCCAACAAAGGAAAGACGAACACATGGGCAGTAAGTTGGGGTGAGGTAGGGAAAATGCTTGCCTGTCAGTCTAGCCTGGAACAAAGACAATTGACAAGAGGGGGTGGAGCCCTGCAAGCACATGGAATTTGAGAGAGTTAAAATTCTCAGACAAAAAAAAAAAAAATTTCTCTCTCTTGTTCTCCTGGCTTTGCTCCTGTTTCCTTGCACTTGCCCGTGTTCCCTCCATAGCCACGTGGCCCTAGAAACCCCCGCATGTAATGGACTGTAGCTGGGAACACGAGCTAAGATAGTCTGATGCTGGACTGGACTGTGGGAATATGGAACAGAAACTCTGGGCAACAGTTCTAATCCTCGCTCTGCTGAAGCCACATCTGGGCTTCTTCCATGGTTATAATTGGCTAGTTATTATTAATAGGAAATGATTCTCCTATTAATAGGACGGAGAGGGGACCTTGGAAACTCAGGGATTTCATCCCATGCAAATAAATACCACTCATTGTCCTGTGCGAGTTTCACAAAATTCCTTTTCCCCTGACATCACAAGAAGCCCACCTCCTCCGGCAACCGGTGGGACACGGGGAGCCCCCCACTGAAAACAGAATCATCTCATTCAAAGTCAAAGCTGAAGTCCTTTCAGTAATCTGGGATCCACACCATCTGGTCCCAGCCTCTTACCTCTGCCCTCACCGCCACTGCTCTCCCCTCTCCCTCTGCTCCAGCCACACTGACCTCCTCGATGGTCCCGGAATACCCAGGCCCAAGCCTTCCCACTTCCTGCCCTCTGTCTGGAACACTCTGTCCCAATATATCCGCCTGGTTCCCTCCCAAACCAGCAGTCTTCACCTCAATGTCATCTCCGCCAAATCTTCCTTGACCACGTATCTGAGAGTACACTCTACACTCAATTCCCTCCGCTCCCTTCAGCTGTTTCTTCCTTAGCAGTTACCACTCTTATCTAACTTACTCGTTATATAGTTTGCTTGTTTGTCATTGGTTTCCTGAATGGAGTGTGAACTTCACAAAGGCAGGCCTTTTGTCCATGGGTAGACTGCTGTCTCCCAGGGCCTAACTCTGCCTTAATCCCAGGACTGCAGTCAGTACCGGAGCCTAGCTCACTCACACACTCATACCAACCAGGGCACGGGCACCGTGTCCCTAGCGCTGTGGGTGACGGGAAACGAACATGCCCATCAGTGGCTCCTTTGTTCAGGCAACATGCACTCACTGAGCACCTGGCATCGTCCGTCTGTCCACCGAGCCCAGCAGGTGCGTTTTGTGGGAGAACTACCCACCACAGAATGCCAGGGAGTCCAGGGCAGGGTGTCATTCCTATCAGTGAACAGCTGGAACAGGTTAGACACTGTGAGCCGAGGGTGCTTACAGCACTACCGCCTACCTGAGCCTTTCGCAACCACCCATAAACCAGGTCCCGCCTGCAGCCTGACTCATCCAAACAAGCGCACCCACTTACACAGCTGAGCTGGGAGGACTGACCTGGCAGCGCCGTCCTCCTCACTGGATCAGCCCCCAGGTTTGGGTGGCCAGTACAGTGCCCCCCCCCCTCTCTCTCTCTCTCTCTCTCTCTCTCTCTCTCTCTCATCTCTCTCTCTCTTTCTCTCTCCCTTTTGTATCTGACACCATGTGGCCCTTGTCTTAGAGAATTGTAGGTATTCACATAGAGGGTAACCTATTGATGGCCACCTGCCGATTTAAAAAGAGAAAAATATATATATATATTTCCCCAGAAACATCAGCTCTGCATCATCCAAACAAACGAAACTGTTATGAGAGGAGGCAAAAAGATGTGAAGGATCAAAACTAAAAAAAAAAAAAAAAAAAAAAAAAAAAAAGGATCAAAGAATAACAGATGGAGCTATCTATATATAAGGTGCTCGTCTAAATACATTCACCAGGTGGGCTCATTACACGCTCACCGTGAGCCAGGCAGCAGACAGACCCCGCTCATCGCCACCAGGCGGCGCTCCTTCCCATGGGGGACCGAGGCTCAGGGGAGTCATTGGCCCAACCCCCGGGCCCTGCGGGAGGGTCGTCAGGATTGAAGCCAGGCGTTCCGGCTCCGCAGCCCGCGATAGATTTAAGAAACCAACACACAGCCCCGAGGCGGGCGGGGCGGGGCGGGGCGGGGCGGGGCGGGGCGGGGCGGGGCAGCGGCCGCGGCCCCGGCGGCGGGGAGGGCGGCGGGGCGCAGTCACCTGGGGTTGGTCTGGAATTGCTGGATGGCGGACTCGAGGTTCTCCAGGTTCTTCCAGCACTCCTCGACCTCGGACGTGTCCACCCAGTTCTCCATCAGAGCCCAGGAGCTTGCCGTTGGGGGGCGCGCCTCCTGCGCCATTCCCGCTGGAGGGTCTGGGAGGCCAGAGCCGGCGTCCGTTGCCATGGCGACTCCTAGGCAACCGGCGGGCGTGGGAATTGTTGGGCGGGGGGGCGGGGGGCGAGGTGTGGAGGGGGCGGCTGGGCGGCCTCTGGAGTCGCCTCCGCTGCCCGCCACCCTCAGGGCTTTCCCACAAGGCGCTGCCTTCCGTGGACGCCCCGAGCCAGGCCATCGCGGAAATATAATCTCACCTCCCCAACTCTCCTTGCCTTCTCTCCCCCTGAGGCTGGGAGCTCAGCCTCTGGGCGGGTGTGGATTCCTGCTGTCTTTCTACAACACCTATAGTTGGTTGGCCCTTGCTTTTCTGGCCCCTGCCCTCGGCTAAAAGTCACCCTCTGGGAGAATGGAAAATAGTGCACCCATCTAGTAAGGATGCTCATGCCATACTGGGCCCTGGGCTCTCAGATCAAGGCCCTCTTAAGAAGGAAGCAGGATGTCTGCTGAATTGCCTACACTTGCCACTGGACCACAGACATAAGTGTCTGTGGACCAAAAAAAAATTATTTGCAGAGATTAAATAGGCCTACATTCCTAAACATTAAGGTTGGAACTAAAATGATAGGTTTTAAGCAGTACCGTGTGCAGTGTGTAATTCATTTTTTACTGTGTGTACAATAAGAGATATTTTAAAACGGAAAACTATTGGTAAGCCTTTTTTTTAAGTTTTATTGATTCAGGAAAGGAAGGGAGAGGAAGAGACAGAAACATCAATGATGAGAGAGAATCCTTGATTGGCTTACTCCTGCATGCTCCACTGGGGACTGGGCCACAACCCAGACATGTGTCCACCAGAATCAACTGCGACCACCTGGTTCATAGATAGAGCCCAATCACTGAACCACACCACTGGGGCTAGTATCTTTGATTTAAATTATGTATCACTCATTGACAGATAATAAGAGACATTGAACCTAATATCATTGCCTGGTTTTAGAACTAAGTATACTGCACTTCCATTTCAGTATGCTGTCTATAGGAAAACAAAATATTTTCTTCCTTATAATATCCACTAGAGGCCTGGTGCACGAAATTCATGCACAGGGCAAGGAGGAGGAGTCCCCTCAGCCTAGCCTGCAGTCCTACATTCCTCTCACAATCCGGAACCACTGCTCCTAACTGCTCACCTGCCTGCCTGCCTGATCGCTCTTTACTGCCCTCCCCATGCTGGCCTAGTTGCCCCCAACTGCTCCACCCCAGCCAGCCTGGTAGCCCCAAATGCCCCCTCCCGCTGGCCTGGTCGTCCCTTACTGCCCCCTCCCCCATGCTGGCCTGGTCACCCCCAACTGTCTCTCCACACTGACCTGGTCACCCCCAACTGCCCCCACGCAGCTGCTGCTTGGTCATTTGGTCACCCTTCACTGATCCCCCTGCTGGCCAGTTGCCCCACACAGCCTGCTGCTCAGTTGTCTGGTCATCCCTTACTAACCCCTCTGCCAGCCTCGTCCTCCCAGGCAGCCTGTTCAGTTGTCTGTTTGGTTGCCATGGTTACTTAGGCTTTTATATATGTGTGTGTGTGTGTGTATATATATATATATATATATATATATATATATATATGAAAAAGAAGTTATTTTTATATGAGAAGCCCAAAGTAGAAAAAGGAAATCATTGAAGCAATCATCACCATTCACATTTAAATACAGAGAGAAAAAGCCACAAGTAGCAAACAAAAATTATAATCAATATCTAAATAATCTTTCTGAAGAATTGTTTTCCTTTAAAGAGATGAACAGAGAAGTTACTTCCACTCCACAGAGGTTTTTATTTTTTAAATCTAACTTCTAAAATTACTTTGGAAAATTTTATTATTTAATCAGAAAGTATATTTAAGCCCAGTGGATAGAGCGCCAAACTGCAAATAAGTGTCCCAGGATCAATTCTGGTTTGATGCCTGGGTTCTGGGCTGGATCCCCTGTGAGGAGCATGTAGGAGGTAGCCAATCAATAATTTTCTCTCATTATTGATGTTTCACTCTCCCACCCTCTCTGAAATAAATTTTTAAAAATATTTTTAAAAGGGATATTTTTAAAAAGAAAATGAATATACCTATAATATATTATTTTCTTTTTTAAAAATATATTTTTATTGACTTCAGAGAAACATCATGATAAGAGAATCATTGACCGGCTGCCTCCTCCATGCCCCCTACTGGGGATTTAGCCTGAAATCCAGGCATGTGCCCTGACCAGGAATGGAACAGTGACTTCCTGGTTCATAGGTCAATGCTCAACCACTGAGCACATCAGCCAGGCATTGTCTTTCCATAAGTGCTTTTTTTATACAACAATGCAGATAAAATTTTATTTATTTATTTATTTATTTATTTATTTTAAAATATTTTATTGATTTTTTTACAGAGAGGAAGAGAGAGGGATAGAGAGTTAGAAACATCGAGGAGAGAGAATCATTGATCAGTTGCCTCTTGCACACCCTCTACTGGGGATGTGCCCGCAACCAAGGTACATGCCCTTGACCGGAATCGTACCTGGGACCTTTCAGTCCGCAGGCTGACTATCCACTGAGCCATATTGGTTTTGGCGATAAAATTTTAAATTTAAAGAGTAACATTCCAAGTTAAAATTAAAAATCTGACCTGTTTAGAATCATGCCAAGATAGTGAAAAGACTGTGATATTTTACTAATGCAATGCTATCAATAAATGAATTTTTTGAAACTGAGCAGGAAGATCTCACAGTATGTTTCATGAGTCATTGGTCAGCGCTGTGCGGTGTTTGTTGACCGGTATGGACTGCATAGTTACACCATCCCACAAAAACAGGTACTGAACAAAGCCTCTTTGTTTGAAACCTTGCTATAGCATATCAAGAAGGTCAGATTTCAGTGTCTAGGAGACCACGTAATGAGGATGATTGTTTTGTTGTTGTTGTTTTGCAAAAGTTTATTTACAGAAGTAGAAACTGAGCCAGTTGTGCTTTTTGGGCTCAGAAAACAAGTTACAGAGGCAAAAGAAGGGCCTTTGTAGCTTAGAAGAAAGAAAAACAAGGAAAACCTGCCATAGAGAAGGAGAGGGGGGAAAGGAGAGAGAGAGAGAGAGAGAGAGAGAGAGAGAGAGAGAGAGAGAGAGAGAGAAAGAGAGAGAATATCTAGGCAGGGTGGGGGAAAGGGGGAGGCAGGGCATACCTGTTTTTGAGAGTATTAACTCCATAATTCTTCTCTTTTTGTCAGTTACCTATAGTTATTGCTCAGGTATATTCCTTATAAACTTGTTCATTTCAGATCATATTGTCAGCTATAAAAAGTGGGGTTGGCACTGCCAAAGCATTTGTCAGAGTATTTCCATCCAAGCATCTCGTATGACATGTTGAATAAATTGGTGGTTTTTAGTGGTAACCTCATGAGCTTTAGAGTTAATTTTTAAAAAAATATATTTTATTGATTTTTCACAGAGAGGAAGAGAGAGGGATAGAGAGTTAGAAACATCAATGAGAGAGAATCATTGATCAGCTGCCTCTTGCACACCCCCTACTGGGGATGTGCCGGCAACCAAGGTACATGCCCTTGACCGGAATCAAACCTGGGACCTTTCAGTCTGCTGGCCGACGCTCTATCCACTGAGCCAAACCGGTCCTGGCTGGAGTTAATTTAAAAAAACAACAACAATAAAAAAACACAGCTTACTTTGAAACTTGCTTACTTTAGAACAGCAATTTTCAAACTTTTTCATCTCATGGCACATACAGTCATTAGTTTATATGACAAAAAAATAGGTATAATTTTGATTCATTCACACTGGATGGCTATTGTTGGCAGTTTCCATTTTTTTTTATTTTTTATTTGACAATCTAAGGTTAAACAGGTCAGAACCCTGACTAAATAGTCAGGTACTGCATGTTGTAAAAATTCTTGTGGCACACCGGTTGCAAATCGCTGCTTTAGAACTTTGGGGAAACATTTCTGAGCTTCTCTTTTCTCACCAGTAAACACTGGATAATGAACCTTTCAGGGCGGTTGGGAGGAGCACGCTACACTGTGAGAACAGCAAGCAGCATACTGGAGACACATACTAACCAGGCCTTCGAGGACTGTGTTCCTCACTTCTAAACCTCCACTAAAGAATACATTGTTGGAAATTTTCTATTTTAAAAAATTCAAATATTTCAGAAGCTAAAATGTTTTTTACTGGGTAAATTAATAGGACTTAGGGCACAATTTTAAAATTTCAAATGCTTCTCTGAAACCACTCGTGTGTGTGTGTGTGTGTGTGTGTGTGTGTGTGTGGTGTGTAGTATGTGTTTACATGAAAATATCACCTACCAATTATTAAAAAATGATAACATCTTAGATTAAATAGCATGAAGATTTGATTAAGAGTCAAGTGATGACTCTAAACAGTAATTTATATATCCCACTTGGATATTATCAGTTCTGTAGTCTAATAAAAGCCAAGAGGTTTCCGTTTAGGTTTGTAATTTAAATTCTTTTTAGAGTCATCATATGTAAAGTGCTTATTTTTATTTTATCACCAGCTGTAATCTATGATTATGTGGTGCAGGCTCTGTTATGTAAACTTGTTTTATGCCATACTTTATCCATAACCAAAGTTCCTAAATAAAGGGTTGGAAAAGGAGATGCAAGGCCCTTAGACAGGACAATATTACATTACTAAATCCTTTATGGAAAAACTCCTGAGATTAGATTATTTTAATATCTTACATTTTGCTGCAATGAGATTACGTATCCATTCTTGTAAGAAAAAAAAAAAAAAAGGAGAAGAAGAAAAGAAAAAGAAAGAAAAGAAAAGTCCATCTGCAAGTATTTGTCACTCGGCTAAAGCTGAAAATCAAGATAAGCTCAACAGGGAATTTGGTCAGGAGCACCCTTGATATAGAATTTGAGTCTTACTGCCAAATGTCTTTGAATGCTGTAATAGGGGGTTTCATCTATTTGGAATTGAATTTTAGATCTTTAAAAGGGAGACAGTAAAAATGGGAAGAAAATGGTACAGCTTACCCATGTGCAAAAGTGAGTCCACCAGGGGAAGG